TTCTTTGTGGCTACAGAGGTATTGTTTCCTTTCTTATATTCAAACAGTATTACATGCTGAATGTGTGTCTCGTTGTGTGGTATCACTATAAGGGATTAGAGTATACTAAACTTTACACATTATATAGGCTACACTAACATGACTTTTAGGTGGTTTGTTTAACTGTTATATGTGATGTGGAGTGGTTAATGAAAGTGTTCCAAAATGCAACATTAATTTCTTGACGACCTAATATAATCAATATTCATGTATTAGCCACAGTTCTCACTATACTAATATTTTAAATATAATTTATTCAAAGGAACACAAGTCGGTAGGATTCCTCTGGAAGTTCATTGAAATATTATTGGGAAGGGCTCTATAGAGAGTTAACTATATAACCAAAGCTTGAACTTTAATGGCTGTTCACTGTGATTGATTTTTATTGATTGGACTATTGCTCAACAAAAACTTTTATAGTGTCAGATGTAATATGGCAGTTGATAAATTTGGCACATGAACGTAATTCATCTCAGTCTAAAACCAATGCTAAGTAGGTTAGATAATGTCCTTAGTTTAACACAGTTGATTAATTTATTTGACAAAAACAGGAACTTGTGTTATTTTCATTATCCTTCTGGTGCACATCGTTTTGATTGGATATTTGATTGCTGATATTTGGGTAATCTTATACTAACAAATTCGTGCATGGGATATTTTGAAAAACATTTTTATAATGTGTTTTTTGCAGACAAATATTTTTGTCTTCAAAAATTGGGAATTTCCATCTCAGTCCAGGAGATGATATAATCTCATTATTTTATGTGAGCAAAATGATTGATATTTCCATACCATATGAAGCTTTAACTAGCACTTTAGAGGCTTGGCTAACAGTTCATTCCAATTTAGACTTCCAGTAAATGTTATGAATTGCATGCTCAGTCTTTCATACTGCACCCAATGTTATGTAGGAAACCTAACTTTACATTCTCTTATACTGAAATGTTATATTTGGAAACACTGCTCATATCTCTGCACTGCAAATAGCTGTCACCTCACATGCACTGCCATGTAAATTTTTGCACATGCTACAGGCCTTGAACAACGCTCCTACCCCAATGTGTCAATGTGTATTGTGTCAGCCTATCATGCAATCATTATTAAACTACAGCCCACCACCAATAGAAGGGTAGCACAACCTTTATGTGCAGTAATCCTCATGACCACTAGCATGTGAGAACAGGCTCATTCTTTCCTTGACACTGCTGATCTTCAAATTTTTTTGTTTCCATAAGATTTACTAGAATTTTTGCTTATAATGCATTACTGTTTGTTGTGTAATATTTCCTTAATTGTTTTGATTTTCTGAAAGGATGTCAGATTTTAAATTTATCAGTTAGAACTTTCATTTGAATTATTTTGAATTTGATTTTCTTCTTTTAATTGACCTTGTTCTTTTGGGGACACATATCTTGTCTGTTCCTATTGTTTAATCCAACATACAGAGTTTGTCCAGTACTCTTCAAGACCATCATTAGGCTTTTGCACCATTACCATACCTGACTTGCTTGCTTTCTAGCTGATAGCATTAAAAAAAAAAAAGGACACCACAACGTCAGTTTCATGGTTTAACTGGATTAGGCATTCATGTTCCTACATTTCTGACATCTTCTTAGGTTTTTAACACTCCTTTACAGGCGTTTTTCAATACTGTAATGGCAACTGGAGACATTGACAGGCAGTGATATTACAAACATTATACACTGGTTCCATTCTGATCTTGGATCCAGGTTTCTCAACCTCCTTCTTTTATTCATTCAGCTGAGCTTGCTCCAACTATACCTTGATTCACTCTGAAATTAAATTTTCACAAAACACATTGAAAAGTAATAGTTATCCTTTAAAATTTCTTGAAAGAATAACACACAATTTTGTTACAAACAAAATAGCACAGACTAAAAAATGACACACTGCTTCAAAATTTCTGTTACCTATTGTCATTCCTTCCTTAGGAAAATAGTTTTGTTCTTGAAAAATATATTCATCATGCTATAAAACAATTTTACCTACAAGAACAATAATAGTTTGTTTTCAGATCTTTTTCCAAATTTGTAACTTCTTTAAAACTATGCAAATACACATGTGGTGAGTGTAAAGTCACATATATTGTCAAAACAAAACACCAATTAAAAAATATGTACCTATGAATACAGGAGTTTCAAGAAGAACTGGGAATCCATTTCTAAATCCATGTGCTCCCTCCCAATTTATGTACATTTTCAAATTTATATACTAATAGCTTCAAAATTTTAACTTTAAGATTCCAAACTTCAAGCTTCGGGTCAAAGAAAGTCTATGTATCTCAAATGAACATCTAAGCCTAAATAATAACCTCAGATCCTTTCAGCTCTCTATGTTTTGATACACTTATTTAATAAATAAATATTCTTAACTTTTGTAAAATTTACTTATTTTTTTCTCCTGAACAAAGAATTGAAGAATAAAATATCATCGTAAAAGGCAACTAACTACATTGACCTACAAAGCCATCTTTCCTTTCTCAACTACAACCACCACCTTATGAATCTCATTAATCACCTTAACACCAAATTCAGAAATCTGTTTTGAAACAAAACTAAAAAAATGCTCTTATATTTTCTGTATACAACTTTGAATCTCATAAAACCTCCTCTCTCTGTCACGATGAACTTAAGGAAATGTTGCATTTTTTTAGTGCATGTCAAAGAACATTAGATTTATATAAAATGTTATTATTTTGAAAACAAAATGGGATTTAATACTCGCATCTGCCAGTACACTGTACTTTACCACCATAAGAGTAGAACATTCATGAATATCACTACTGTTTGAAAGATTACAAATACTAAATTTCACATTATAAAATCAACATTAACTGATAAACAGAGAATAACAGTTATAATACAAAAGTTATAGGAATAAGATTCTATGCCCAATCTGGATGTTTGAAAAGTTTGATCTTATTCTTAACTACTTGTAAATAATGGAAAATTCTTCCCAAGTTTCTGAACTTCAAACTACTATACATTACTTACAAATTCTCCTGCTTACCATTAAATGTAAGCACCAGCTCCTGGATGAAAAATTGAAGACAAAATATCATAAAATGCAACAAACTAAGCAGCTCATCTTTATCTATTACAAATTACGAAATCATCTCTCCTGGCTCAAAACAACCATTTGATGAATCTGATTAATTGCCTTTACTCAAACATTACTACCTGATTTAAGCATGTTCAAAATGTGAAAATTAACAAACTCTCTCTTAGTACAACCTTGAATAACATTATTACAAAAATACTCATTTTTAAATTTAGTGACGTCAAAGTAAATGAATGTGCTGAAACTGCACTAGCTAAAGGTTTGAACTACTGCTACCCTTCTTGTAAATCAAATTTTGCCATTTGGATGTACTTACAATACTTTAAAGTTCATTCCCATATTCTATGGAAATGACACTCAAAATATAGCTTTATCAGAACAAAAATATGAACTTTTATTTTCCTTATACAACCTCGACTCTCATAAAACATCCTCTCACTCATGATGAACTTTGCCTTAAAGGAGCTCGCTAACAATAATGATTGCTGTTATCAAGCCAGACAAAGTTAGACTAAACAAAAAGGAATGTATCCATAAAATGAATTCTATTCTTGGTGACCAAACAAAGTTTACACCTGGCTAAGTTTAACTATGAAATACACTTTAAGGTATTTCAAAAAAGAATGGATAATCTCCAATGATAATTTTGAAGAAATATTCACATCCAAGTCCCATCCAGACCTTTGCAATGTTTATAATACTGTGTAGGTACTGACATGTTTGATATTACATTTTTTGTTTCCAGACTTATTCTTGTATATTATTATAGATATGGATTTTTATTTTCAATGTTACGTCATGAATATCAGAACGTGTCTGTTGGGTAATAATAAATGCTTATGCTGTATATTCCCTTTAAAGTGGCATCCATACTACTACGACAAGTTAATGTAGTAATTAACTTATAGACTGGTGCCAAGGCAGGAACCTCCTACATGTAAAACCCAGTATGTCCCATTAGCATTCACTTTTTTAAGGAAGTGTTTTTTTTGTTTTTTTTTAGTGCTTGCCAGATAATATTGGTTCACATAAAATGGTATTATTTTGAAAACAAAACAGGGTTTAAAACTAACCTCTGTTTACACACCCTACTTTTAGTGCCATAAAAGTAGCATGTGCATGAGTATCACTAGTTTTTGAATAAATATGAATATTACATTTCACATTATAAAATCAACTTTGACTGGTAAACAAAGAGCAAATGTTTACTTTTCTCATACAAGCTTAAACTAAAATGTAAGTCTGTCATGTCATCAATACAAAAATGAATATTTAACCTTTGTGGTTGAAATATAATATGTATGTGTATGTATATCTATTTAATATTTCAGGAAGTTACTTGACTTTTTTTTTCTTTTTTGCAGTCTGAAGCAGAAAGTTTCCTTGAAGTAGCAAAGGATTTATTGTCTGAAGTGAAGGATGAAGTGGATCATTCTAACTTGGAACTTTTTATTGCAGACTTGCAATCATTCATTGATGGCATAAATGCATTTGGGTATGGTATTGTATGGCAGAGATCAAATGAAATTTTATAAGATTTTTGTGTATTTCATTTTTATTTGTCAGAAATTCAAGATTATACTAGTGGGAGTACATGCACAGCATTTTTGTTTACAACTTATTGAGTTAGAAAATGTAAACAGTTTGGTAAGTAAATAGGCAAGTGGAAAATGGATTACTCCAAATTTTTTGTTAGCAAGTGATATGTTGTCAGAATAATATCAAACTTTTCTTTCTTATATATTATTTGGTAATAAAATGTAATTAAAAAGCAAGTTAATTCAGCTGCAACAAAATTTTGTTTAATTATTGAAGTGTTCTCTAGTGCTCAAAAATGTTTTAAACTCAACAGTATAGCGTATAATAGCTAAAAAATCTTTCCCCAATAATACTGATTTACTTAATAAATTGTGTGGTAGTACATGTTGTTAAAAAAGTGCTTTACTAGCAATTGCTAGTGGGATAACCCTTTAACTGGCAAATGAGAGGTTTCTAGTTTGATTCAGAATCAAGGAAACGCAAAAACTGAATTACAGAGAAAACCTGAAGCCCATCTAGCAGTCATCATACAAACCTAAGATAAGGTATATATAATTGAACATGTAACATATATCTTGGGCCTTGCTCAAGGTAAGGTAGTGCCACAGTACTGCTTCCATTATCATATGAAACATGTATCTTACTCCTTGCTTGGTGTAAAGTGTTACAATAGTACTGCTTCAATTATTTTGTGCTAGTCTAGCATTCATCAGTTTACAAATATTCCATATTGAAATTCAGGAAATGGCTTTTCCAAAATAATTACTATTTATTTAATTGGTAAAATAATAAATCTGAAATATTAGTAATATTTCTTGCAAATCTTTTAACACATTGTAACAGTCAGGTTGGAAAGGTATATGGTTGAGAATGTAATTCTGTTAATTCGATTGGAAGAACACTGATCTCGGGGAAATTTGTGTAAGCCAAAGGTCTTTGGTTCAAAGTGCCATGCCCCCAGTGGCACAGCGGTATGTCTGCAGACTTACAATGCTAGAATCCGGGTTTCGATACCCGTGGTGGGCAGAGCACAGATAGCCCTTGTGTAGCTTTGTGCATAATTAAAAAACAAAAAACAAATAA